TTAAAATACGAATTCGAATAGACAAAATGTCCAATCCATTTTAATCCATTCTCGGATGCTGGGCGGGATAGAAATGTGCCGACCTTATAAATATTATGTACTAGCATAAAATGTAATAAAATACAAGCAAAAATACTTTAGTTTTATTTTATTTTTAAAATAATTCTCTGTACAATTTTTCATATATCGATATATTTCGATTTTTGATGTATTAATGTTATATAAATCCACTACTTTTTTCTAGATTTGATTGGAAACAGCAGATAAAGGAAAAGAGGCCAAAGAAAAAAATATTGTAAGAAATATGTTAACTTGTAATATGATATAGCAAAATCTTTAAAACACTCCTACAAAATCGATTTTCGATCTTTATGCATTTTTTTAAGAAAAATCAATTCTTTTAAAGGTGATAATACATTTACAAAATAGTAATAAAACTGTTTATTGTTATATTTTTTTTCTCATCACTGAGGGGGGAAGGGATCAATATATTATAATAAGTCATTTTTTCAAATTACTTTTCTTATGTGATTGTCTGCACATTTTGATCGATATTTTTTTCTAAATAAACATCTTAATCATAATTTGAAGAATTAATTTTTTTGTTATTTTTTACTCGTAACATTTAAGAAAATTTCAATTTTTTATATAACCAAGTGATCAAATTACAATGCGCTTATATTCAAAAGATTAATATGAATAATATAAATACAATATAAGTACAATATGCATATAAGTACAATTGCGGGCCTACGCACATGAATTTTGATAGTCAAACTTGACAGCTAATTTGAAACTGTCGTGACCTCAATATATTTCACTATAATTCCATACACTATTGAAATATTATTTAATAACCGTAAGACAATATGTACAAACACATATTAATCAGAATAAAATATCTACAAAATTTAAGAAAAGCATAGATACTATTAAGGAAATGAAAGATGTTATTTATTGTAATGAATTAATTATTTTAAGAAAAAATGTGAGAAAAACTTGTGCATATAAATAAAATAATAAACCTTTGAAACAGATATTGTTGTTATAATAATCAAGAAAATGTTAGAAACAAAAAAACTTGAGATAAAAGTGGATGAGTCGTTTAATATTTTTGATATTTTATAATTAATTAGAAATATATATATATATATATATATAAAATTTCTCAGACCTAGCTGTATCACCCATTAATAGCAGAAATTCCTGAAATAATTTTGAGACAAAAAACTAATATGCCAGAACTATAATAGTTTTTAAATTAATAGCAATTAAAGTTCTTTAATTATACAGCTAACATTTCGCGCACTCAAACATGATGATATGGCAAAGTGATAAAAATACTTCATGATCCTCCCAGTCCCAGCAATTTTAAGATTAGCATACAGATATACAATGATATTATTATTAAGAAATTGTTCTTGATTCTATACGGAATCTATCTGTCCATTATGTATACTACACTAAGATTTTTTACTCGAAATTATTTCATGAATCTGCTATTAACGTGATATATGTCTGGTCCGAGACACTGTATATATATATATATGTATATATATATAGTATACATATATATGTATATATATTCCAATTACTTAATTAAGACTTATAATTTTTCGCTATTTATAGCAGATGAATTAATTGTATTGTTTAAGGCGTGTTTTTTAAGGCACGATTGATCGAAAGATATTAGTAAAATATCAAAATTGTCGATACAATTGAAAATTTCAATACGTAGTCCGGAGCCTTTTCGTGCATGTTAACAGTTAAAATTATTCAACAATATTAAAAAAGACTTTGCATTTACATATGAAGATTTTGCTGATAACCTTCGATTTCATTGTACATTTTCCTGACAGGATCTTTTGGCAAATAGTTGTGCATCGCTGGTGCGATTTTATTGTTGCCGGGTACATTGCCGTTGGCTAAATGCGTTACACCATTTTGTAGCATATGTGTTCCTTTTGCGATGCCATTCTGATGAATATGACCATTCTGTTGAATAAGCTTCATATTGTTCAATACACCATTAGAGATGGTACCGACTCCTAAGAAGGTAACAAATATTAAAATCCGTTACTAACAATAAAAAAAAATACATAAATAAATAATAAAAAATAAATTAATGCAGTAAAATTGCTTACCTTGAGCAATAATTCCGTTTTTCGTTGCATTGGCTATCTTCCCAATATAATTAGATATACCGTTGACTGCTAGTTTGGCATCGCCATTAGGTATGGCACGTTCATTTTGGTATTCATTTGAGGTATGTATCCCGTTTGGGTGTCTGATAGGCGAATCCGGACTTTGTTCCTCTTTGCGACGTGCTCGACGCATTAGTTGATATAACGCAGCAGCAAAGTCCTGTTGCACACTAGGTACATCTGTATCACCGTCCACCTATTTAAAAAATAATTTGTTATTATGCGTAAAAGAATAAGTAAATTCGTTGAGCCTTATTACAATAAATAAATAAGTAAATTATATTTTCAAAAATATATCCATTTTACAAAGATATATTGTTTCTATTATTGCAAATTGCAATCTTACTTCTATGGCCCTTAGCAGAATGACTAACTTATAATCTTAAAACTGCCATTGTTTTATGCGTTACTAAAGACATTACAATTAAAACTTATTGTTAGATCATACAAAACAATGGGAGGGGGTGGGGTATGGGGTCTTAAGACTATAAATCAGCCATTATAAATCTAAGGCCCTATATTCTCAATAGTCACCTTACTTTTACATTCCAACAGCAAGAAAATAATTAAAGCTTAGTTACAGCAGTTTTTTCTTTACTGATCGAGAGAGCTATTTATATTTTTTTCTTTTCTGTCTTCATTTTTATAAAAGATATTGAGTAAATATATATATATATATATATATGTACGTATAAACATCTCAAATACTAATAAATTGTAGAACAATCAAATATACAATATGTATAATAATAGTAACTCTTAATTGAGGTGCAATCGTCTCAGGTCATCGTTTACCCAATAATAACTATAAATGATTATTCTTTTGGATTATTGTTTACCATTTTAAATAATTTTAGAAATTTTACCATATAAAATTTTTAATTTTAATAAGTTTAATATTCCCTATCGTTATCAAAGGACCCCACACCAACCTTATAGAAATTAGCTCTGTGTCGAATTGGCTAAATTTTGGATATATTGTAGTTCTGGTCATTTTGAACAAATATCTCCATAGGCCCAATCTCCTCCTATAGCTGGTTTTTGCACTATAAATCTTGGAAGGTTCAGATTGAAGCCATTTTTTTAAATTGGGTTTTCGTGTATTTATTGATATTATATTATTGATAAATATATGATATAGATATATACATGCATATATGGTGCGTGTATACAGGTTCAGCAAAAAGGTCCTCACGACTTTTTGGACATTTCCGGCAGTTAAAAGAAATTGTTGAAAAGTGGAGACTCTGTTTCATGCAAATTATTATACAACATGCGATAAAAAATTTAAAAAAATTTTAATAAAAAATTAAGGTCATCTTAAATTTTTTAAATAGCACTGTACAACCTTTTTCCATAATATTGCAGGGGTCTTTAAGACGAATTCAATTCACGTACTATCGAGAATGCCACCTTTATTGAAGTTATACACATGACATATAATATCATAAATATTTATTAATATAAAAAGACTATGAAAAGAGTCTAAAAATTATCAATTTTGGCGATGAACCGAATACGTTTAAAACCAATGCAGTTATCATCTTGACAGTCCATACATTCATGAAAGAAAATTTAATTATACCTAGGAAAGTTTGTGTGGAAAATCTATCAAAAATAATAAAGTATGTTCTCTTCATTTTTAAAATGCTAACGGTTCGTGAACATTGCAATTTATTTCATCAGAACAAGAGGGGCGCACTGATACTGTTTATTTGTTTGTTTATGTAATTAATATTCCTTGTATCCCGTAAACTTTTTCGTGACGTACTTTCTCGAAAGAAGAATAATCGAATTATGATTTGAAATTTTGTTCACAAATATCTTGATAATTGAGTTAAAGAAAGATTGATTTTAGGTGATTCATTTCGACACGCATGCACGTACGTCACATATGTATACATACGCTCTCGCGCGCGGTCACGTACCGGTCGTTTCAATGGAGTGGATCAATAGACAAAATTTTAATTTTTGTATATTTAAAAAAAATTTTAATATATTTTTTTATTTTATAGATTTATTTAGGATAAAATATTATATATATATATACATATATATATATCATATATATATATATATATATGAAAATTAAAAATATTTCTTA